TCTGTCTGCCTTCGAGAAAAGGAGTACTTGTGGCACCTTAGAGACTAACCAATTTATTTGAGCATAAGCTTTCGTGAGCTACAGCTCACTTCATCGGATGCATACTGTGGAAAGATGAAGTGAGCTGTAGCTCACGAAAGCTTATGCTCAAATAAATTGGTTAGTCTCTAAGGTGCCACAAGTACTCCTTTTCTTTTTGCAAATACAGACTAACACGGCTGTTACTCTGAAACCTGTCTGCCTTCAGGCACAGGACAAATATTGCCCCCAAAGAGCTCTGCCAACACATCTCAATCCTGACCTCCAATATAACTCAGCCAGCAGTGAGCAAGATTTTTCTGTTCCCGCCCTGGGTGGTAGTTTTGTGACATGAGAATAGAAAGGGAGTTTGATTATTAATTCCTATGTGACCCAATCAAGCATTTGAACCAAATGTCCAGAGGGTCAATGTGAGTGCTTACTCTCTGTTATACCCACTGTAATTTTTAAAAAAGAACTATTTATGATACTTATATATACACACCATAAAGCTGCACAACAGTGTGATATAAACATTAAGGGCACATGTTGCTTTAACTCCACGTTAGCATTATGTGCTTACTGTAATGGCATAGTTCATGTTCCGAATAGGGGAGTTATGTTGATTTTCTTTCAGCCTGTCTCTATTAAGCGTAAATGGAGGTGTTCATTGAATGTACAATATTCAGCATAATAGCTGCAAAAATACATGTAATGTGAATATAGATTTGAGTTTTTTCCAGTTTTTATATAAAAAATATATATATCATCTCTCTCTATATATAGATAGATACAACAAAAAAGAAAATGTAGAGGTCCAGAATAAAAGAATGCATTGCATCAAACACACAAATGAGAGAAAGGCCCCTTGTATAAAATTATAAGCAAGTCAGAAGTCCCAGTTAAAAGTTGTCGTGTTGATAAGGTTCAACCACATATATTTAACTGAGCTAAAGGCTTCAACAGTCCAAGATTTTAATCTTATATAGAGACAGGTTAGATTCCATTGACCTTTCAACGTAACTGTGTAACCATGTCAAGAGACAACTGTTGTAAATGAGTCATCTATCTTAGTTATAATTGCACTGCTAACGGGGCCAGAGAGAGAAAAATCCAAAACAAAGTAAACTACCACTAGTCCTGAAAGAGATACTATTCAGTCCCTCCATTTTAGCATTTCCATGTGATCAATGAAAGGGCTCTACTTAACCCCTCTGTATATCTAGGTGGGTTCTGATTTTTCTAGTATCTTAATAACCGAGATACAAAGCTGACTAAATTCTGGCAAAGGAAAGAAAAAACTTAAAAAAACCCTACGTATAAAACTTACGAGTAAGTGGCAGATCATATCCTACATTTGCCCTAACAGAGTATGTTCAGATCACTTGCTGTTAATGAAGGAACACAAGTTAGTTTTCATGCAGTCTCTTCTAGATGGCACAGCAGAATTTATTTAATTAGGACACATCAGGTATCTGGATAGGCCTATTATTCACTTGTCCCCAAAAGAGAAGAGATTATTTTGTTAAAAAAAGCTGAAAGAACTGGAGGAAATAAGTAACCGGACCAAACAAAATGACAGAAAATATTGAAAGCAGTGAATATTTATTACCAGTACTTCCTCTTGTGAAAAGAAAAGGAGTACTTGTGGCACCTTAGAGACTAACCAATTTATTTGAGCATGAGCTTTCGTGAGCTACAGATCACTTCATCAGATGCATACCATGGCAGTTTCCACGGTATGCATCTGATGAAGTGAGCTGTAGCTCACAAAAGCTCATGCTCAAATAAATTGGTTAGTCTCTAAGGTGCCACAAGTACTCCTTTTCTTTTTGCGAATACAGACTAACACGGCTGTTCCTCTGATTCCTCTTGTGAGTTATCTTTGGAAACCTTTGTAATAAAAAAGCCTACAATTTCACACCTCTCCAACACATGGTTAAATATCACTTAACCTTTTAGCACAAGCCAAATGCATCCAACATGAAATTTTTTTGAAAGTACTATCTCAGTTAAGCACCGGTCATTGCTATTTACTCTCACTAAGCAGGTTCCCTGGTAGATGTCCTGATTAAATGGAGTATGTTGTATTTAAAGCATTGCAAGATCCATTCAACTGGTAACCTAATAGCATGACACGTCTGTTTAACTGGATGTTTACCAGGGAACAAATTCACTTCAATGAATTGAAACTACTCTAAAAATGGCTCAACTTGTCCATTGAAATGGTACAGCTGTGTTGTCTGAAAATCTACAATATTCACAGATATATATGGGTAAGAATGGGCCTTCTAGCACAAATGGCCCATAGGAGTCTTTTTAGTTACCTCTTCTTAATGCTTCACTGCTGGATCGTTACTGCTAAATTATTTTTTCTTTCCACATGCTATTTTAAAAACTTTTATTTCATCAGTTGCATCTCCCAACACAAATGATTTCTAAAATCCTTGAATAAATGGGATAACTGGCAAATTTGTTTTGGGAGGAGCATCCACACACAGTGTAGATCTGGTTTTACAAAGTTATACAAAAGACCACTCTTTGCCTGTGAAAAGCTTCAGGGGATAGATATTTTCAAAATGAAGAGGGACAAAAGCCACAGTTCACCCTGATATGAACACAAGATTACCAGAGATTTGAAATTAAACAACTTGATTGTCTCATATACAGACACTGTTTACACACAAACAATACATGCATCATACAGAATATCTGTCATTGGCAGAGGGTCAGACTTGATGATCTGATGAGTGAGTTTTCTTCCATGTTAGCTTCTATGATTAAGAATTTATTTAGATTGTAAACATTTGGGGCAGGGATAGTGTTTTTGTGTGTGTGTAGTGCAGTGCCTACAGCAGAGAGGCTCTGATCCCTGATGGGGTGCCTTTAGGCCAGGGGTGGGCAAATTTTTTGGCCTGAGGGCCGCCTCTGGATATGGAAATTGTATGCCAGGCCATGAATGCTGGGTGAGGAAGGGGGATTCTATGGGGTGTAACGGGGGGGATGGAGGGGCTCTATAAGGAATGTTACCGAGGTGTGGGGAGAGAGGACTCATGGGGTGTGGCGCGGAGGGGGGAGCGGGCTCTACCGGGGACTCCTAGGGGCCCTGCTGGCAGTGACACCAAGATGGTCGTACCAGGCACAGCCATGGGTGGAGGCACTCTAGCTGGGACGGGTGCGGCCCCTGGGCTGTTTTGAGGCTCTCGAGGGTGGGGCCGTAGGAGACTGGGAGGGGACTGGGCCCACTGCCACGTAGGGGCGGGGTTGCAATCCCGGAAACAGCGCGGTGAAGTCGTGCCTGCACAGTGTGGCTCTGCGCATGCCGGAAGATGGTGGAATTGTGAGTTGGGGGTTGGGGAGCGCTGGGTGGGCGGAGTGAGGCAGCCCCTGATCCCGCTCCCTGGCGGGAGCTCGAGAACCAGATAAAAACATCTGACTGGCTGGAAGCGGCCCGCGGGCCGTAGTTTGCCCACCTCTGCTCTAGGCACTATCTGCAATGCAAATATACGTATCAGTTACACAAACACAATTGCTACCTCTTCAGAAAATCATTTTCTTCTCTACCACCAGATGGGAGTAAAGAGTAAAACCACAAGAACAGTTTTCACTCCAGAGGTGAACCTACCCAAGTCCCTCCATCCATTGTTAGCATTGCTGCAGGACCTCCACCACCCAGAGCTCTGTGGAGGGGCTTCTTCAGGGTACCAGGAAAAGAGGAAGTTTGCGATGGAGATGGTGTTACTCACACCACAGACATGCCCCAAATATGCCCAGGACCAGGCCAGGTGCTTGAAATCACATATTAAAACATCTCCCTTCTGTACAGAGAAGGAATGATCAAGCTCATGATTAAATTCATGAATTTTCATGAAATTTAGGATTGGAACTTCCTTTACCTTATGATCCCCTAGCAGATAAACAATTGTATGTCTTTGAAGTAGGCATTTATGTACAGGATACAGGTTTCCATGGGAGAAATTCCACCAGCCATAGAAATTTTGCCTGCTTAAGGACTGCTTAACATTCTGCAGTCCCTCCATCCATCCTATGAATACATACCAATTGCAAAGTCTACCTAAGGTACCATGCTATTAAGGAAGATTAAAATCCTAAGAAACCAAAGTGGAATGTCTGGGTAACATCATGCAGACAGGAACTTTTGGTTTAGTATTGTAGATGACTTCTAAGTGCCCTAAATTTGACTTCATTTCTTGGTACTCAGAGATAAATATTCCTGGGGCAAAGTCTGTTTGCACACGATGAAATGTGACAGATTGAGGGAGGAAAAGACTAGACATATCAGCAAACATGCCAAATGGATACATGGTTATACAGAGTCTGCTATTTTAAACTGAAAGTTCCAAAATTTCAATTCACTGCGCCACTTGAAAATTTAGAGCCTCCAACATGACAGCAGTAAATATGTGGGCTTTTTTTGGTGCAAGTACTGTTGGCATGAAATATGCTTATATATCGGTAGAGGGTTGACAGCCCAGGAATGAACGTCTAAGACTGCCACTGAATTTCAAAGGCATAGCTAGGAGTTGTGCATCCAACTTCCACGGACTTTCACCAGGAGGTGGGTGCCCAACTGCCCTAAATGCCTTTGAACCCCTCTCCACCATGTGCTTTTATTGCTTAACATTGCACAAGTATGTTTTGTTTTTAAATATTAGCTGAAAGATCCCACATGTTTATTTAACTATGAATCCACATACTGTCAATATTAATTTTCAGTTTTTTTCCTATGGCAGATTTACATGAGAGCTGTACCTGCCTAAGGCTGTTAAAGGAGCTGTGAAACAGTTATTTATGATGGCCCATGCACAGGAAGTTTTACTGATTGCTTTATTATGAATTTTCAGACATCAGCACTCAAAGCCTCTGAGGTGCAAAAGATGATGAGCTAGAGTCGACTGCACCATAAAATTCAATGTACAAAAATCTATATTTAGAAGACAATACAATAAGAAAAAAATCAATTAATTTCAGTCTGAGTTTATTTAATATTTTATCTAGTTCACTTTAAATATAACATTAACTCCATCAATACTGGCAAGACATTGTGATAATACTTAAATTAAAAATGTAGTCAGTCACTGCATCACTGAAAATTATATTCCCCAAGTGGAAATATAACTATTCTATTTTTCTAGTTTTAAGTAAGAGTTTATTGCACTTTACTTGGAAATATTTTTTGAAAAACATTCTATTTCTAGCAGATCAGTATAAATTGTCTGATCTTTATACTATTTTGTTCTGTTTAATAATATCATGAAACTGTACAGATATTAGTTCTGTAGAAAAGCATTAATAGACTGAAGCTTCAAAAAAGAAAGTTAACAAAAAATATATATACCCATGATATTTTTTCTCCTCAGATCTATACTTTGGTCACTGAAGAATCTCCTTTATTTAACTGAAATCTATCAATAACATTCTTTAAACTAGGCTATATCATTTTTATAGAACATTTGCACATTTCAGATTTTTCAAAACTGAGTAAGTGAGTTCACATAAAATATATCTGATTGCAAGAGTTCAAAAATCAATGGGTGGAGAAATGGCATGTTTAAAAATGAGACAAGCTCCTTTAAATAGGAGATTGTAAAAATTAAATAAATTCCTTCCTGGCTCCTCTGCAGATGTGTATACACTTCTACATGTATTTTGAAAGCATTCAAGCATAACACAAATCTTTTGGAATTTATGTTTTTCATTTCTTCTCATGCAGAACTATTTATTGCAATAAAATATATCTAGAGTCAGAATTCACTGGGGAAACCAGCTCACTCCCAACTAGAAAGGTTAAGACAAAAATGTGAAGGTAGGTAATTACAGAAGAAATGCAGGTAAGGCTCAGTGGCATTTAAGGGGACTAAAGCTTCAGATCTGTTAATCCTTTTAGATCAAACATAAAAGTAACAAGCCATCAAACAAATCTCCGCTTTATGAGAAAATTCACTCTGATCACAGTCAAGCAAAATCTGCCACTAGACTGTTCTCTAAACTGCCAGACATTAGCTATGTTATATAGTCACTGCATAACAACATACTGTCAGTAAAACACTCACCAGTCATTGTGTATATTACTTTGAACATCTAAAAATGTGGGACAAAATTCTCTGCTGGTGCAAACTGGCACAGCGTCAGTGGAGATACACAAATCTGTCCCAGTGGAGAATTTGGCTCTTTAAGTTTAAGCTTTCTAATGTTACATTAAGTATACTGTATATTAAATATAGGTGGGCCTGGGTAATACAATGGGTGTGTTATTGGATACACTGAGAATATGATGAAATGTAATAGAAAGCGTTCAGTAATTTTGTGCAGTAATTGATTAAAACAGCAGCATACAATATGTTTCCTTTGTGCTTTTCCAGGAACAGAGAGGTTGGCCAAACAACCATCATATGCAAAAAAGTTTGGCAGATTGTACTGCTGCAATACTGATTACTCAGAAAACAAGAGCACTCTTAAAGGACTGAACACAGCAGGACTGTATGTGCTGAATGTAGTTAAAAAGGAAACCCCAGGAACTTTCCATGAAGTTTGAAGATTATAAGACACAAGAAAATAAGGCAAAATAAAATTAACTGCTTCTGCTATTTATTAGCAATGGCAAATGAGGCTAGTGGGGCATGGCCACAGTATAACTGTTCTTTGGAGTTATTACTCTTATAACGCTAACACTGGACAGGGAGGGCCTGAAGAAAAGGATTTGTGGTCACAACTTGAACCTTGGGGCCAAAGACATTTAGAAAGACATTTCCCTACGTTGAGGGAAAAATGAAAATTTGGATTCCTGCCCACTCACAGTGGAACAGGTAGGGTCGCTAACCCTCCAGGATTGTCCTGGTGTCTCCAGGAATTAAAGATTAATCTTTAATTAATGATTATGTCATGTGATGAAATCTCCAGGAATTCGTCCAAACAAAGTTGGCAACCCTAGGAACAGGTAACAAATCTCAGAAAAGATCATCTGATTTTCTTTGTGTGCTTGATTTTTTTTCTTTTTGAGGAGTTTTGTCTTTAGCTGCTTGCAAGCTAATGTAAACATTTTTGGATATGTGCAATTAAACTTTCAGTTAAAAAAATGATGGTTACAAAATGGGCAATACAACAGTAATGAGTTTGTGATTTAAGATAATTTTATCATAATTTTTTAAAATATATTTATATAAAATAACATGGATGGTCAAAATTGTTTAACAATAAAAGGAGAGGCCAAAATAGAGTTCTCTTCACCAACATTGGCACGCAATTAAAAAAGGAGCTCAAGAGATTCTCCTCGAAGGGCATTCTACCTTCCTCGAATTATAATCCTTTATTAAAGTACACACGTTCTAAATCAGGGCTGAACTCTTGGATCTTGGCTCGCAATTCTGGCTCCAAACGTGTTACGGACATGGAACTGAGCAAAAGAAAGATAGTAAAATGAGTACACATAAAAATGCTTGGATCTAAACTAAAAAAGATGATGTATCTGCTCAAGGAGTTTTGGATTAGGAAAGGAGGAGGTTCTGAATCTATTTTTTCCCTCAAGATGATGTTCTTACATCAGAAGCAAAATAACTTAACTTGCTTGGTAATGAGATGTTCTGCCTATTCAAGAAATAGCTGCTGTTCTAGTACCTTGGACTTCAACCCTGCTGGTTAGGTTCTCATGTAAATTTAGTGCTGGAAGAGACAAACTATACCCTTTTACGAGACTTTCAGAAAATATTGTATTTGGCTGCTTCTGACGACTGTGTTATTTTATTCTGTTGAATCAAAGGAACTATTCTGTAGATGCAACATTTATTTCTCATTTGTAAAACGAATTCATCTGACAAGTCATGTAACATCTACAATTTCTTAAATACATTTAAAAAAATTAATTTCCCTATAAAATTAGAGAGTCAACTCAGGACACATGAAGATGAATTTCAAGAAGCACTGATCTGACTCAGGAAGAGTGCAGTGCTCACTACACTGACTTGCCAGTACAACTGTGCCAATCCAACTCAACATAGCCCTGCCGTGTTCCTTGCTATTGCAACAATTTGGCCTTTTCTTAGCCAGGAAGGCAAACAATGTCATAACTGCATTGTTGGAATCAAGGGAGTTACACCGGTATAAAAATTATGTGAGATCAGAATGAGACCGAGGGTTTCCAGAAGAGAAAAGCTAGTGAACTCACCCACTAACTTTGATAACCAACTAATCTCCAGTTGCAACATTTAAATCACATTAAGTATTTTTTCCACTTGATGCAGTAATCATGACTTCCATTAATGACAAAAGGAAAGAATACATATCAGTGGAGTTTTTACACCAAGTTTACATAATTTATTGCATTTGAGCTGACCTTAATGTTTAGTCTGCCCAGGCTCCTTTAGGATCTCATGGACAATGAATGTCAGCTCCATATTTATTTTCAAACAAAGCTAATGGTTTTGAGACACATTAACATGGATGAGGCTCTTACCTGGGGACAATCTTATTACCCAAACTACAAATAAAGCACACACAGTTCAGGTGGCGAACTCCATTCAGTGTGAGTTTCCAAATGAAAATAAATGGGATCTTACCACTTTTTTGCATACATTAAAATGACGCCACCACCTTAAGGCACAAAAATGCATCCTTTTGACCACGTTATCTCCCCCTCTTTGAATCCCTCTACTGGCTCCTCACTGTGCTGTGTATCAAACCCAAACTCCTTGTCCTGACATTCAAGGCCCCACGTTATTCAACCCCAATCTATATGTTCAACTGTTTCCTTTTTTCCATTCACCCTATTCTCTCTGTTCCATTACTTTAACATCTCCTTTGCATCCCCTCCACTCCTGCTTCTGTATCTTCTTCAGAACTGCCCCTGCCAAAGGAATGCCTCTCAAACCCCAGGTCCTCCCCTCTCATTCAAACCCCTCCTAAAACTCATTTCTGACACTCAGCCTATGAGATGTTAAACCCCGCTCCCCAACTAAACAAAACTATTAATATGCACACCTGCCTTACTAAGTAACTGTGGCACCTGTATTTTCTTTCTTCCCTTATGTGTATGACCCACACTTGTCATAGGTGAATTTAGACTGTATGCTCTTTGAGGTGGGGTGGGACACTTATTTACTTTTTGCTGTGGAATGCCTTGCGTGCTTCTGGGCTCTCAACATTAAAAGAATAAAAAAACCCACATGTACCTTTTTTGAGGAAACAATGCACAGCATAGAGGTGTAGCAAACACCAAACTAGAAAAGACAAAAATAAGATTACAATATTTCGGGTAGAATCCTACTTTTTCAAAAGGCATTGCTAGACACACAATTCAATCATTTTATTCTCTTTCCTTCTCAAGGACGGTAGGGCCCAGTCCTGTGACGTGATTAGTGAAGTCAATTCTCCACTGCCTTGCACCATGTGTGGTCATTTACATCTATGCAGAGGGCAAAGAGGGCGCAAAGCACTATCACCCATATAAAGCAGTGAAAATCTGATTTGGTGACATTTCATACCCACTTTGCATAGATGTAAGTGATGCACAAGAGGTTTGGCAGTGAAGAATCAAGCCCCTCGTTGACTTCCACGAAAGCTTATGGTCAAATAAATTTGTTAGTCTCTAAGGTGCCACAAGTCCTCCTTTTCTTTTTATGTGAGTTGAGGGCATTCACAACATTACAGGAATAGGTTCTACATTATCACCTGTTTAGGCAGTGGTTAAAAAAGCTTATTTTAATCAGTTGTAGGCCTGAGCCACCACGCGCACCCCCTTCCTTTGCTGGTTATATCTACATTTGTAATTTCTCCACGCTGATGGCTACCATAAAAGAAGCAATGGAAGCAAGAGATTTGTGATTCATTTTTAAAAAACGAATAAGTAATACGACATAGAATGAGCAGATGTAAGCGATATAATCTTGCTAACACCTCACCTCACAGAAGGAATGAATCGTTTCTGATGCTCATTGGCTTTACTGCCCAAAAACATACAGCCTTGATTTTTTAAAACATTTGTAAATTGTTTCTCTTTACATCTTCCAAGGAAGCTATAGTCACACCTGTTAAAAATAGTAGACAAGAAACTCACTCACCAGACTCCAACTAATCCAACTTGAATGGGGGCACTCATCCACGGGAACCGCTGTGTTAAAAATAATTATTACATAGTGAATGAAGTGTGCTTTTCCCTCCCAACATTTTTGGAGATTTTGTGTACTCATAAGCAACGGACTGACAGCTGTTAAGAGCTAAACATGGTGCAGATATATGGTGCAAGTTCTCCCCACTGCTTTGCCAGCACACTTCAATCCTGACCTCTAACACTGCTAAATTTGAGGGCCTGGTCCCAAGTCCTCTGAAGACAGTGGAAAGACCCCCATTGACATCAGTGTGCATTGGATCAGATCTGAATAAGTCTCCACTAGGAACTAGATTAATAGATGGCTGACAACCCATTTTGCTCATGACTGGATTCTGATTTGAGTCTAGGGGCCAGTTCCACGGTGAGACCACTTTGTGTAGCACTGACTTCAGAATGTAGCAGCAGCATCAGTGAGAGGTTCAGCCCAGTGAAAAAGAACCATATGCCAGAATAGAGGCTCATATGCTGCCCACTTCCTTGCCAGCATAAGGAATTTGGTCATGAAGACAGCCCTATGCTGTACTGAATCCTGACTATTGTTTCAATCTGTCTGCACCCTCAGGTTGCTCTAACTTATGCCTGAGGACTTGCCAGCAGCTGCTTAAGGATCATGGGAGTGCCAAGGTAAGGTTTTGCACCAACCTCTCCTCACCCCTTGATTTGCTCTGTGTGCTTCTCAGCTATTGCTGAGGTTCTGGCTCTAAATTCCTATGGATAAAACTAGAACTGTGCAAGTGTGTGAGGGCCCCACTCCTTTTACAATTAAAGAAAAGCATAAAATAGAAGCTGTGATTTGTTTAGCAAAGCAAAAAAAATTTTTTTTATACAAATGTGATATTTATGGCTAGTTCATCTCTATTGCACTTTCTTTTGCAAATCGCATCAAATGTACTTAGAAAGAAGACAAAACTTTTATTGTAGGTCTTTCGGCGATTTTTTAAAAAAATACTATGTTAGAATTTTAGTTGAAATTAAATACTAATGAAAGAAGACCAAACATTTTAATGAAACTCTGCTGTGATGGGCTTTTTCATTACCATCAAATGAAGGTCTCTGAAAAGCATGAAACACACAATTGCTATCGTAACACGTTGATTTGAAATAAAGTAGCTAATTAGTTCAGATTACACACTACAGTAGGTAAGTATAAAGATGATGTGTCCACAAGAAGCATTCCTCCAGCTGTAGGAAACTGGTGAATCAACAACCAAAGTGAATGTCAGTATTTTAAAGGGAAAAATGGAAGCAATAGGGAATGAAGGCAAAAAGGAATTTAAGAAAGTAAGTATGACAAGGTTGGTGCTAAAAGATCACAGCAGAAACAAAGAAGTGGGAAAACAATACAGGAATTAGCTCTTTCTTCAGGGACAGAGAGAGAGGAAGTAACATAGCAGATTGTGCCCTTCCTTGTTTGAGGCAGTCTGTAGTCCAGAAATGGTTGCAGGAGAGAACTGTCCAATTCATCTATTAGCTACCAAAGTAGTCAACAGATGGAAAAAAGCAGCATCAAGGCAATAAAGGAGGATGAATTCAGTGGTGCTGCACTGTTCTGACATTCCACTAATGCATCTTCATCTGACCTGTGCCCCATATAGATTGGTTCAAAAGGCTTTAGTTTCATACAGTGAGAGAGTTAATGACAAGAGACGGTGGGAACAGCATCACAGGAGCAGAAGTGCTCAGGGACTGTATGCTTATCACAGTTTGTGTACCAGCAGCAGAGGACTGTGGGATTGCTATTCTCTTTTGGGAATGTTAGTCAGATTCCTTACTGTGAAAGGCTATGATCAAGGGGAGGATTATGGTTGAGAGATTCCAAGTATTGAACACTGAGGGAGTTGAGATATTCTCATAATACAGAGGCATCAGGTCACTTGGGGTATAATAAGATAGAGCTGAGCTTTTATCACAGTAAAGCAGAGTGGTATTCAGCCTTCATCTGAGTGGGATACTACTCAGAAAAACACAGGTGTGTCTAACAGCCTAGGCAGCATCACTGGCATAAACTGGTTCGCTTGATGAAACGTTTTTTCTTTCATGACAGTAGGATGTAAAAAATGCCTGTTATGCAGATAAAGTTCTGACCTTTATTTTCCAAGAATACTGCTGGACTATGCTAATATTAAAAAGAGTAGGAGGAAGAAGCCAGCATTAAAGATCAGTTTTAAGAACAAATATCTGGAAGGGTGAAAAAAATCCAACCAAACAAGGAGGCATAAGTAAAATACACTTAACTAAAAACAAGTTAGAGGCATCAGATGCAGAATGTGCATCTGGCTGGAGAGAAAACAAAAACAAAGAAGCACAAGATAACAAAATAATTTGGTGAATACGAATTCTCTCTTTGAACTCATGAAGACAGTAGTTCTGAATGTATCAGGACTTAGCTTCCAGATGGTTTGTGCGGCAGGTGTCATTGTTGGATAGTGCACATAACGAGGTTGTAGAAATGACAATTAAATATGAAAACTTGGTATTTTAGTTACTGCTTCTATTCACTGTTAGAACTTTTGAATCTGCCATCTTGCCCAATGTGACTATGCACTATTTGCAATTATATAAATAAATAACATTACTGGAAGCAGTTAAGGAATTAGAGGTATATGGAAGGAACTTGAATGCATCATAGGATAGTTCTTTGAAGAGCAGAACTATATGAGAAAAGACTGCAGAATAGGCTTTCTTCCTAATTAGGAAAAAAAGTTTGTAATGGTTGTTACAGTTGCAGACTAAGAAAATCTGGTTAGATGGTTAGATGACATGAAAGGGGAAAAAATGCACAGGAATCAATCTGAGTATCAGAAATGATGTACAGAGCAACAAGAGAAAGTAGGATGTGAACTTATATGAATTTATGAACCACGTTAGAAGTGGTTTAAAAATCTCAAAGTTCAGGCGGCAACAGGAATTTTCAGAAGTTTGTATGGAAGAAGCATCCAAAACATTCTAATGGAAGGGTTAGATGAGATGGAGGTGCATCTATAAATTCTGCATTTTTATACTTATACAGTTCATGGCTCCTGCCACTGGCAGCAGCTATTGTGACTTGGTTTTCAGACATACATACCCAAGCATGAGTCAACAGAGATGATGAATATAAATAATAATCATATAGTCATATAGCCTTTGTTTTTAATTCAAATATCAATGGAGTTTACCATGATACCATTAAAACTGTTAGACATGAAGAAACAGAAAAAAGAGAAGATGTTCTATGGTAGGATATAAAGAAATGAAGACTTGCTGATTGACATGCATTTGTTTATTTTCTGGCTTTTTGGTCTCAGAGGGTATGTCTTCACTGCAATTAAAAACTGGCAGCTGGCCCATGCCATCTGACTTGGGCCAAGGGGCTGTTTAATTGCAGTGTAGATGTTCAGGCTTGGGCTGGATCCTGAGCTCTAGGACTCCCCAAGGTGGGAGGGTCCCGGAGCTTGGTCTGCAGCCCGAGGCCAAACGTTTACATCATGGTTAAACAGACCCTTAGCCTGAGTTCTGAGAGCCCGAGTCAGTGGGCACAGGCCAGGTGCAGGTTTTTAATTGCCGTGTAGACATACCCAAAAAGGTTTTTACAGGCACGTAAGAATTATTTTCTGGAATGCTGGTGCGCAAAGCGAAGACTGAGGGACATGTGTTAGTAAAGCAGATTGTAGGTGGTGGTGTCACAATACTGCAGATGGAATGGTGCTTCTGGAAACCTCAAGAGGACATGCACAAGCTGCTAGTTAAAAATGCAGCTCATTCCTTAATAGTTTTAGAACTAATCTACACCAAATGTTACCACTGACTAACTGCAGAGCAAGGTTTCACCTGAACTCACAGTCTGTGAGGCTGAGAGGAAGGAACAGGAGAGCATAAACGATCATGATGGTACCAAAGAACATTGAAGAACTCTCATGTGTGCTGATCTGCAAAATTCACAACACCCTTATGTTGATTATACTGCACAACAAATACTTGAAGTTTGACTCCAAAGACACACTGATTCCTCCCTCACTCTTTTTGTCATAAATGTCATGTTTCTGCCATGCCAGTTGATATGACACAGGACAATTTTTTCACGCCGTGCACATGTAAAACCATTTTTGCTCTACCTTTGCAACCCCTTTGATTTCAGAAAACAAATGTCCTTGCTCTTTATGGACAGTAAATTTTCAGGTTCACTGCTGTAGTTATAATGCCTCAAGTAGTCTAAAGGTCAAAGAAGTCCATGAATAAGAGGTAGGTCAAATCAATATATATCTCTTTTATACTAGGGAAAATATGATGTGTGTACATGGGAGCTTCACTCCTATCAGTTAGGAGAACCATGCAGTTTAAGTCTCCTACAGAGTACAGATTTTCATTCCAAAATTCAATAGCTATATTCCCTGTTTTAGCACTGTGAGGAACACAATTTTCTGAAGAAGTGAGCACTTCAGGAAAATGTAGTTTTCTAAATTTGGGGACAAAAGAAAATAAAAATTAAACAGTCTTACGAACATGCATATTCACACACACGTAGGGTGACCAGATGCCCCGATTTTATAGGGACAGTCCTGATATTTGGGGCTTTTTCTTACATAGGCATCTATTACCCCCCCACACCCAGTCCTGATTTTTCACACTTGCTATCTGGTTACCCTACACACACGTGTATATTTCAGCAGTGTAGTTGTGAAATCTAAACCCAACAATATAAAGACTATGAAGAACAGAAATATAAGAAATAATTCCTCAGAGACAACTAAATGTGTAATCTAAAAACTGATTACCCTAAAAATATACCTTTCCAAGGAGTGTCGGTAAGTTTATACACAATACTTCTTTTCTGCTTCTAACAATAAGCATGCTCCTGACTCAACTTGTGTCTTTCCCATACAAAGATATGAGATTGTCCATAGCCACTCATGCAAAAGGAAGCCAGGGACATTAATGGGCAAAGAAATTCTATCTTTGTAACTGAGATACAGCCCTGGCTCAGGTCTCATGTGAAATCTGTATGATGTTTTATTCACAATGTTATTGATGCTGATTACAACCTCATGCATACACACAATGTAAAAGTTAACCAAAATACCTTAACAGATCAGAATTAGATTTATACCAACATAATATGAACAACTGGATAAGGATATCACACTACATTAGCTTAAATAAAATATGAGAAACATATCATACTTGCTGAAACATGCACACCCAATATTTGGTTTGCCCATAATGCTAATGGATCATTTTCAAACCACATTTTTTTCCACTTCAAGATACTTTTTGATTGCAGCTAAGCAGAACCTCTCTTTATTGACCCAAACTTAAAAAATACCCTAAAATGATTTGCATTGTATTTGTAATAAATTCAGTGTTTACAAGTATTGCACTGAAACAAGCAAATCTTGCTGAACAGAGAAGAATTGCATATTTTGGATTTTTTTAAAAAAACATAGTTATTGTATTTTATAATATGGTAGGCTCATTCATTTTTTGGGGTGGGGGAACTGAGGAAAGGCAGGTGACACAAACATCATTTGCAATCAGATTGCAATCTGTGCGCAACCAACTGTGTTAGCTGATTCAGATAAATGTTCCCTAGATTTTGACCAAAATGTCATCTACACATACATGATGCTATGCAGAGTAATCTACTCATTCCTTTCATAGAATTTTTATTTAGACAGTGCTGAGGTGAAGGACAGGGACTGTTCAAATGAATAATTAAAATATTTCATAATACTTCGATAGCACCTCTGATCAGAGCGATATATGAAAGCACTCTGCCAACCTTAAGCAAGCATAACACCCTATTATTTCTGCTTTACAGATGGGGAAACTGAAGCACAGGCAGGTTAAAGAGCTAGATCCTATTTGGTGCTGAGCAACTCATTTGAAGTACATAAGCACATGTCTAAGACCCACTGACTTCAATGGGGCTTCTGCATGTGCTTAACGTAAAGCATGTTCTGAACTGCATTCGTGAACTGGGGCTTAGCTCCCTCAACTCCCACTGTCTTCAACAGCAGTTGAGGGGACTGCATATCTTCAAGGAGCTGCCCAGCTCCTCACAGGATTGAGCCCTAAGCTGACATGACAAGAGTCATGACTGGCAGACCGACCTTTAACCATTAGACAGAATTTCCGAACTATTCAGTAAAAAATTTAATAATTTAATTGGCAAAACCACATTACTGAAAATATTCTAAATGTTTCTTTATGTATATTCAGAAATAAAACTTTCCCTGGACTAGGGAATATAATAGTTAGCTGTCTGATCATAGAATCATTTTCATGTAACATTTACTTAATACTTTGTATATGAAATACATGTGACTATATCCGATATGCATATATTTAAGCAACTGAGGCTTACCTTCAAAAAGGCTTTTTTTTCCAAACTATTCATGATAAAGGGAGGAATAGCTGAAAGTGAGAAAATAAAAAACAAAACAAAACAAATGCTTACATCTTAGCAAACAAAAACTGGTTTTCCATAAACCTTTTTGCAGTAGTTTAGAACAGTAGTTGGAAATCTTACGCCACCTTTAGAATCTGGAATACTTTTCTGTGACTTCTTGCAGTGTGAACAAACCTATTCAAATAGCTTAATTATGACAGTTTAAATATTTACACATATCTCTATCAATGTGTGCAAACATTTTGCTTGGACAATTCAGTCTATTGTAAACTTTCCTCATTCTGGAGCAGACTCATCTTCTCCCAGTGCTCCTTTCCCATTGTGTAGGCACCTGCACTGTCCCCACAACTTCAGGTCAAAAAGAGCACCTGACTTTCAGTAAGCTGAAAGCATTGGTTAGCAGAACCTATTAACAGCAGTAAGGAGGTGATAACACCATAAACAACCATTGTCTCCTTGTACCTCTTGGGTTTTACCAGCCTGCACACAAATTTTAACATGCACATCCATTATGAGATTACATTGTCAAGGTATTAGCAGCCTAAATTAGTGTAAAATTAAGCACAGAAAAAATATGTCCCTTACAGTAGAATCATCTTAATTGAGACACCTCAATGGGTGATCTATCATCCTAATTAAGCACCTGCCTTGATTAAAAGGAGGACACTTTAAAGAAGTCAGTTAAGATTTCAATTGAACTGAGTACCATAATGAAGATTTCACTGTTTTTCATTTTCATTTGACTTCTCTTTTCCTGCTCCCATCTGCCTTCCACAATCTCTCCTTATCTTTATTTGACAACTTGTCTTCTAAAACATTGGAATGGAGAATTTCTCACCTATTTAAAATCTGGTCAAGCACTCAGCAACCTGGCACTGGTTAAATATGTCCAGAATTTTAGCTACTAATTCTGTTCCATTTGAGTAGAAGTTACCTCTCCACTCATTGACAGCAGCCTAAGACCCATATTTTCAGCAGTATTTAGGCAACAGTTCCTATCGATTTCAATGGCAGTTAAGGAGCCAAATACCTTTGAAGATCTGGGCCTAAGGCTCTGTCTACACCAGGGGTCTCAAACATATGGGCCGCGGAGTTATTTGCTGTGGCCTGCCAAGCTCCTCATGCCCCTCCCCCCCAAGTTATTTCCTGCGGCCACCAAGCTCCCCTCACCTGCTGCCCCCCATCCTCCCAGCGCGCTGTGTCACTGCTCCTCTGCCTATCTTCAGGCGCTTCCCACTGCCAAACAGCTGTTTGGCGGCGCTTAGCGCTTTCCAGGAGGGAGGGGGAGGAGTGGTGAGCCGTGCGCTCAGGGGACAAGGTAGAGAAGAGGCGGGGCAGGGGCGGGGATTTGGGGTGGGGACTTTGGGGAAGGGGTGGGAAGAGGTTCGCCGTTCTCGGCCAATGGGGGCTGCGGGAAGCGGCATGGGCCGAGGGACATGCTGGCCGCCCTTCCCGCAGCTCCCATTGACCTGGAGCGGCGAACCGCAGCCAGTGGGAGCCACGAACGGCCGAACCTGAGGACACAGCAGGTAAACAAACCGGCCTGGCCCACCAGGGGCTTTCCCTGAACAAGCGGCGCCCCTAGTTTGGGAACCACTGGTCTAAACAGAGGCGAAACTATTGTCTCTACAACCTTAGGAGGGTTTGATCTAGTAGAGAAACATTTACACAGAATTCAGAATCTCTCTAGCTGTTTATTCTAACAACTGTAGGACAATCATTATGTTTGACTACAGTTATACTAACCCATGCCAGGGGCAGCCATGAGAATCCTTGAGACAACCACCTGAGTAATGGCCTGCTGAGCAGCTTTGGCTGATTCACCTAACCTGTTCCCATTTTCGTCTGTAACAGGGATACCAAATTTGAGTTCCCTGTTGAATTAAAAAAAAAATGGTTTAATAACAATTAGTGGCACTCATTTTTATCTTTTTTAGTCATCTGATCCTAAATGCTTTTTTCTCCTTTAACTGTGTCAAATCGAAAAAATACTTCCAAGCAAGTGACGTAGGCCACGTGTGCTCTGCTTTTGTTGTTCAAACTTTTGTTGTTCAGGGGTGTGAAAAAAACACCCCCCCCGGAATGATAAGAGTTTTGATGAAGGAAAGCACAGCTAGGGACAGCGCTCTCTTCTCTGGCGACGAAGCTACTACCCCTCATTCGGGGTGGTTTTATTCTGTCCCCGGGAGAGCTCTCTCCTGGCGACAAAGAGCGGCTACACTGTGCACCTTATAACAGTGCGGCTGCAGCGGCATAACCACGCAGTTGTAAGGTGCGCAGTGTAGACGCAGCCTTCGTCTTTTATGAACTTTAAATGAAGACTTTTGAGAGCTTTTAAAAATTAACTCCTTCGGTGCCAAACAAAAATATTTCTTTTGTAATCTTGTAGGCCAAATATAGGGATTTTTTTGCTGGGGGAATAAACACACTAAAGAGTACTTCTCTACACAACGCACAGTCAACAAAAAAGAATTAGATATATTCATGGAGGAAAGGTCCTTCAATGGCTATTAGCCAAGATGGTCAGGGATAAAAGCCCATGCTCTGGGTGTCCCTAAACCTCTAACTGCCAGAAGCTGGGACTGGATGACAGGGGATGAATCACTTCATAAATTGCCTTGGGCTGTTCATTCCCTCTGGAACCATCTGGCACCGGCTACAGTTGGAAGACAAGATTCTGGGCTAGATGAACCATTGGTCTGACCCATTATGGCCATTCTTATGTTCTTATAAGTCTCTATATATCAGCTCTTGAAGGACAGGTACCTGGCTTTTGAAATCCAAGAGCAAAGATCTAATGGGATACTTATCTTAGGAGAACAAAGATGTTCTATTTTATACCTGTGATATTTAAGCAAATGCCTTTAAAACCTAAAAAAGACTTCCTTTGAAATGCCATACACGACATTGAAAACAGCTAAAATATGTAGAAACATTACAAAACTGATAAATTAACTAAACAAAACAAGTAGTTCATCGGCAAGTGTTGCCACAAAAATTACATTTCTTCTAGAATGAATGTATCACATTCTCTTTCTTACCTTTGCCTCATTAATGGAATATTTATGCAATTAGCAGCAGCTACAGCAGCAAAAGGAACAAAACGTCCTATAAGGGGCGAGACATGCTGTGAAAAGGGGAGGAAAAGGTTTTCAGGTTTCACAATCTTTTTTAAGAGTCTTAAGCCATTTTTTTTTTTACATATAAAGCAGATTGTTCTCTCTGACTTAAAATTCCGAAAGAACCCACTGTGAAGTCAAGGGGAAAAATATCTGACATAAAACTTCTAACTGACAAAACTGACAACCCTCTCTGTCAGGGTAAGCATTGGCAAGAAGGTTGAAGGGGAGATAGTCTTGACTATTAGCATCACCCTTGCCTAGAAGTGTGAGCTTCCTGACACACCTATCAGCATAATAGCAAGGAGTGGCACTAAAGAGACCTTACATTTAATTCCATCCACTGGAAAGGTTATATCCATCAGACATCAATATTAGTAGCTTCGTAACTAGGCGCACTGACTATACAGAAGCTATTGATCAAATTAATATGTTGTATAATCTGTTATGCTCTACTTAAAATAGATCTTCTTGAACATTTTGTCATTACTGCATTTTATCCAAAACTGAAATTTGACAAAAATATGTAAGACATGCTATTAGTTTTTGGGGGGAAGCGAATAAAGGAAGAGGAAAAATAAAGAGTCTTCTTTCATGGTAAATCTGAGGATTTAGTTAAAGAATTAGACAAATTTTTAACCTGAAATCAGTTTAACTGAAACATGCAGACATACTCCGTAGCAGCTTCATGAACTCTGTAACGCCAGTCTGAGACAGAGTTGCAAAAAACTGCTAAAATCGCAAGAAAAGAAATATGTATCTTCACTCATCACTGGAGCGCTCAAGCATGTATTAAAATTAAACATTTTGGGAACAAGAATATATAAGCCTTTCAGCTTGAAAGCTCAACAGAATCCCTTGTGCAGGATCAGGGTGATAAGAAAACTCCAATTCCCTACATTTTAAAAGTGAAAGCAACATAAATATAAAAAGGGAGGTAGTGAAAACTGTTGCAAGTATTGCTACTGCAAAATATAGTATTCTTGCCAATTTTAGAAGTTTTAATCAAAGATTTTGATAAAAGTACTAAGTTCATTGGCAAAAGCTTCTGACAAATTTTCAGGAGTTTTGACAATAACAATAAGTAATAGAAGATAAATAGGTATATGAATAACTACAGCCTACATAATTATTATTTTATGCTTAAATGTCAAACTACTTATTTCACACTTCAGCTATGTCTACACTGAAACTCAACTGCAATCAAAGGTATGATTGCAGCTGGAGGAAGCATACCCACACTAGCTTTAATCTAGCTAACATGGCTAACACCACAAGTACATACCCAGGGGCTCAGAAGGGCTCGTACAGCCTATGCCAAGGTCTGTGTCATCATGTCTTCACTGTTATTTTTAGCCATGTTAGCTTGACTAAAGCTAGTGTGGGTATGCCTACTTGAGCCACATCTTTGATTGCAGTTTGACTGCAGAAATAGCCATAGCCTTTGACACATATGGCCAAATTTTCAGCCAGACTGAGGTTCAACCTCCATGTTTGCTGGTGCAGTTTTGCATCTACAAAAAATGTTCCTGCATATTTTGTCACATGAATGGATTATGAGCATATATATCTTAGTAGTTATTTGTCTAATTTCCTGATTTTCTTCCAAAAGATACTTAGACATGTAACACTGCCAGTGTAAAAATGGAGTACATGCAATTTGCACTAGCAAGAGGGAGGGGCGGGCCACTGAAAAATCAATCCGCAGTTCTAAATGAGCAGTAGGTGATTATAGTTCCATAATGGGAATTGAGTTTAACAAGATGTAGAAGTACCAGAGGATGACTCAGCCACTAAAATTCTACTAAACATAAAAGTTTAACTAAGAAAAATTCAATACCTTGGTTAGTGCATTAAGTCCTAGAGCTGTTGCTACAGCACCTGTAGTGGCAGAAACATAAGCCGTTCCCAGCTGGCTAAAACAAAAATAAAAATGATTGCACTTGCACAACCTGTGTTTGTATTAGCTTGTAATATCTTCACATTCTAAAACAACGTGAATCAATACTGTACTAAAATAACTTAGTTTAAAAACAAAGCTGCATTTTATTAATGTGGAATCAAATTTCTCTCTGCATCTCATCCTGTTCATTCCATTTTAGCTTTTGCTCCTATGTCCAACTCTCTGAACTAAGGCTGTGAAGGATCATATGCCCTATATTTAACCTGTTGATGTCCTTAATTAAAGACATTAACCAAAGCTTCTGACAAGGTAACAAGCTAATTTAGCATTTTCAAATGACTGGTTAAAGAGTGCAATGAAGATCTCTATTAGAGATTATGTTGGCATTTAAAAGATTGTTTAACTCATGGTAGTTATACTCATTTTTAAAAGGTTAAACATAATTGTAATCTCAAATCAGTCTCAAGCATCTCTTTGCAACTGTTCTAACTTGTTAGCACACACTCACGCTGATTTGTGCAGTGACTCATGTCCACATACTGTATCAGAAATTACTGAAGCTCAACCATCTTCAGACAGATGGCAGTGCTGGTTACAAAGTTATTCGAACTGTTTGGTTAAGCATCTGACCTGACAGTAATTGGAGCATCTCCACTCCTGTTGGTGTAATTTACAATAGCGTTGAAGGACTGGTTAATCCACTGCCAGAAGACCACTGCTGGACTAGTTCTTAAAACAAGAAAAAGTGTGTTTTTAAAATGGACATTAACAAAAAAAAAAATGTTATACCAAGCAGGGCAAGTATGAACCTAAAGAGCTGCTTGACTGTTCTTATTTATCTGAGCAAAGTTATTCTGAAGTACTTCAGCCAATCAGAAACTAGTTTCTTACAGAATACTTTTAAAAACAAACATAGAAACACAACTAAAAACCATAGCAGCAGGCAGTATAATAAAGCACAACCTTGATTAATAGACTACATTTACAGACCTGGTTATTTCTTGTACACACACACACACACACACACACACTCCTGCCTTTTAAATCCACTTACTCCAAAATGTTCTTCAGTCTGCTACTGTGACATAATTTTTAACATGTCCTATGAAACTGAAACATTTGTTTGAGTTCAGGAGTCAACGGGTGATTTTTTCATTATTAGCTCAAAGCATAAGCAAACATTTTTGCCTCAACTAACAATAAAGATTGATGTTGTACAGGAATGAATGTAAAATCTGTTTCAATATAGGCTCAATGACAGATTCATTTGAAAAAAAAAAGTCTTTGAGACCTCTTCTAAATTGCGTGAATGCTAGTAAGGTGATGCCTCAAGACAAAAATCCTACCTTGAAAGTATTTAAACATTTTAACTGTTGGGGTAGCAAGAAAGCTAAAGATCATGCTCAAGTTCCAAAGCTACTGTCTGAAAATCTGATATGACTGCTATAATATTATCAAGATGGGTGCTTTAAAAATGCCTGTGTGGGGGAGGGAGGTAACTGTTCCACTGTGAATTCTGAGATGGAAAACATCCCATTTATGTGAACAAAGAATATAGATTAGAACATTCTTCCTATTAAATTCAAGTCAATTGCACTTGTGGGGCCTTTTTCAGACAACTAAATATTATGAGTACCAGGTTGCTCAGTGGAAAAGCTCCAGAAGACAAGCCATTAGCAGCGACAAAGGACACAGAGATCAGCAAATCTTTTCCGATTCTTAATATAGACTGCACCAATAATATTTGTTTTCATTGGTTTGGGGTTTTTTGACTGATAGATTCTTTTTATTATCCTTGCAGGGGCTCAATCTTGCTAGCTGACGAATACTCTTGTCCTCAACCCAATAGAACACTTATGCACATCTCATTTGCTTACGTGGGACAACTTACACGCTCAAAAATATTTTGGGGCCAGAACACGCAACACCTTGCAGGATCAAACCGTAGGTAATTTGCTGCTTTCAAATTTTGATCAGAAAGGTTGGGCTATCAAAGGGAATTGCTATTATTGAGGACTAGTTTTTGTCCACAGTGATTCCTTTCAGTGGAGCATGAAAGCGCAAATTTATTTATTTGCTCGGGCATGGAAATAAGGACAGAAAGGAAACCTTGCATTGGTGGTCAGTATGGCTATTAATAGGGTCCAAGACCAAAGACTGATGGCAAGCTGTTGGGAAGTACTGACACAGCAAGTCATTTATACCGATTGAATGGACAGAGAGACAACGCAGAGATGCTACAATAAAGAAACTATATTTGCTGAAGATTTTCAATCCCAAATCTAAAGATCTTTCTTGGATCTTATTTTTTTTTCAAAAAAATCTTAAATCAGAAATCTCAATTTCAAGCAATTCAAATATGCCTCATTATTCCTGCTGCTTTCTAACATCTGATTCAGATCTCAAAGCAACCCTGAACTAATAGCTCTCCATCTCTGTCACTTCTCTTTCCTTTCTCATGTGCATGCGTATCCTTTTACCTACCTACCTTATCTCCCTTTCTTTTCTATCTCATCCTGTTTAGATCTCAGCATGTTGAATGCATGTGCTCTGCTCTCTGTTATTCAGTGACAGGAAGCATTGCACCTGGATTTAATGACGACAAGGAGATACTATACCCAAAACAGCCACTTCAGCCGGTGTATCACCAGGAGAGGTAGACAGACTAACAATACCTAAATGGTATTTTTGAACAAACACATAGGCTCTCCTTCCATTCTCATGTATGTTCCAGTGGTTCCTTTCTATTCTGAAGGAAAAGTCTGCAAAAGACAAAGGTCTAGATCCTCAGGACTAACTAGTTGTGCTTAGAACAGGGGACCCAAGAAAAGAAGGGGAAAATATGGATGGGGCTGATTCAGCCCCAGGGGAATTTGGAGCAACCTCAGAGCTGTTCCATCCTATACCAACTGCAACAGTGCCCTAAAAGATGTTTCAAGACCAATGGCCCAAGACCCCTGGAGTGCAAGACACTCCAACCATGCCTCTTCTTTCCCCTGACACACCTCCTCCTGCCTTCTGTGCTGGGAACAGGGAAGGAGTGGGTGCCGTAGAAATGGCTATACCTGCTTTACATCATCCAAGGATTTCCCTTCTGCAAGAACACTCTCCAGCTGATTGTTTAAGAAAGCTTTCTGATCTCTTTGCACTGTCTGGGATCTGGCCAAATGAGACCAGTGTCTTCTGGATTAGTAAATAACTATTGATACAACCTAGTTTTGAATCGGACGGTGTCTCGTAAGGATATGAAGAAAGATGGGAATTAGGAAAAGGCATAAAGCAGTGTTCATGGTTATTAGTTCTGTAGGTAAGAATATAATGGAACCTGCATATGAAGAAAGTTACCTTTATTTTTTTCTAGACAACTACTTTGCGGAAGCGGGATGTATGACACTTTCTGGACTACCCTATTTATAGATTCTGTGCCATCTGCTTCTTCATATGCTGGTAACAGTCTGCTAATATTGTGAGCATGTTAATGGTTAGTGACTTCTTCGCAAAGTTCACGGCTTTGAATTTTAATATAATGAACCAACACATAAGCCTGTCAAGAGACAGAAGTGTCAGCGATCAACAGCAGCACTGATGGATTTCTCTGACATTCCTAGCTGGGGCTTGGTGGCTAAGATCCTTTTACACAGAACTAGGATATCTTGCAAAACGGCTCTTGCCTTTTCTTGAGGACATAAGATAAAGTGAGGATAATTTTGGAATCCCTGAATCAAATACAATGATGTTATTGCTTCTAACTCCTCCACTGGTTCTTCTAAGAAAAATAATATTATTTCAGAAATAAATAAATAAACTAAAATAAAATTCTAGTGCAAAGACTACTCATAGAAGTTACTAAGACTAGCCTTTGAAAGTAGACTCCACTGAATTTGTGAAGGTTTGGGGTAAGGATAATTCAGGTGCTTTTGAGGAAAAGAGAGGTAATAAAAGGGACATGGGACTGGACGACTGATAGACTGAAGGATGTTTAACACTTACTTTGCAGAGAGCATCCTACATGCCAGATCTCTACAGTGAGAATTCTCAGACAATCTCCTCCTCTTAGTTCTCCAGATAAATCTCCTATATGGATGGGATTTTGGAACATTCAACTTCCTCAGTTAAATGAGGAAAAGCAGGATATTTGGTGAATTATTAGAGTGGGATAAAAGGCTCACCTCACAGCTACTTCTACAGGAAACTAGCAATAAATGCAGGTAAAAGGGATACAAGGACAGAAGAGAAAAGGAGGCAAAATTTTATATTAAAAAAGTATTTATAAAACATCTTTTAAAATATTCGGATGAGCTAACTACATTAAATATTACCTACTTAATTTACTGACAATGTTTGTGTTATATTGGCATCACTTACCTATAAAAGGTCATCATACAACCTGTGATAGTCATGTTCATTGGCACCTGAGCTGACATTCGGCCAATCAAAACCATCTTTTCACCAGTGTCCGGGTGAAAAGCTGAATCATACACATATTTTGCTCTCCATAGTTCATCTTCTGTCAACCCAGGAGCCACAATACCTTGTCTTGGAAACAAATACAAAAATGTGGTTATAAAATATAGCAATTAGTAAAAACAAACAAATATGGTACCAAAGGACTTTTGGATCAACAGAATAAATTTAAAAAGATAGAAGTGAGTATTGTACTTTAGCTTCTATTGTACTGCATGTTAAGAATCCCACTGACAAGTGCATTTGGTAGACTTGCCTTTACATAGCTTGCTGAAGAAAGAATCAAAATTCCCTGCAATGGTTAGGTACCTTAGGTACCTGATACTGTCCATAACAAACTTCTACCTGTTCAAAACAATGTAGAGATTTCAGCTATATAACTTCCATTAAAGTCACTCATAATCACACAGACAAAAACCCATGCCCAAGTCTGAAAATTTACCTTCAGGTATCTGAGAAGCTATTTATCTCAAATAATAGAACAAGTAGTCAAAGTTAGCTCTCAGTATTGCTGCCATACCAACTATTTATTGGAATCAGACAGCTCATCCATAGACCAGAGTGCTTTCTTAGCATGGGCTCTCAGACCATGTCGTTTGTTGATTCAGAACTCTAGATGCTAATTCATAACTCCAGAAACATAAATATCACATATACTTGGCATTACAAGAAGATACAATAGAATACCTAGAGGAAGCGATATTGCTTTGAAAATGTTTTAAATATTTCATTAGATGGATATAATCACCTGTTGATATGAGTGACACTTAGCAAACCACAATCACTTAAGGTCCAAGAAAAAAACTGTCATTATTACTGATGGCCAAAAATATCCAACTATCATACCTGTAATCATGCACAATTTTTCTTGCATTTTCTAGTTGTTCATTAGGTAATAAAATATTCCTGGGATCTGTTACAGTAAAGAAATGATTGGCTCTTCCAACAAAAGTGCTTTGATCCCAACGGGGTTCCTTGATATTAATGTTTAATGGTATATCTGCTGGCATTTTCATGAACTCTATGTGCAAAGAAAAAAGATTTCAGTTTGATAATTCTTGTAATAATGTACCGAGAACCTCTAAGGGTGTAATCTTGCCAGGTGCCAAACACTCTAAAATTCCATTAAAAATCCTAAATGAGCAAGTACATACTTTGAATGCAATGCATTTATCCCATATGCTTTCCACAAACAACAAAGCTGTCAGTCACACGAGGAACAAGTGCAAGTTGATCTGAACATACATATATATTTCTACATTCCTTCTCTTAAATAGCTGCACAGTAAAAGAATGGTTCTCAGAAGATGAGTAACTGAAGAGCAGAATTTTACTGATAATAGCCTCACAAAATAATGGATAATGCAAAATACTAGTTCAGTATTTGCTTTACTTGAATTAATTATGTATTCTCGCGACACTCCACCAGACTGGAATAAGGGGACTTAAAGCGAATTAAAAATGAAATGTTTTGAGAAGACATGCTTTAAGTGAGTTGAACTATTCTTCTACCACTGTATTTTTTGAGAAAGCCTGTAAAAAAATTCTGGAACAGCAAAACAAAATTAAAGTTAGAAACACACAATACAATATCTTTTACTGTAGATTATTCTTTATTTTAAAAAGTGTTACCCAGCAATCCATAATACGAAGAAGGTGTGCCAGTTTTCCTAGGCATAAAGGCCGGGAAGAGCACCTCTGCCAGTTAACCTCACAGACCTAGCAGTGTTCTGCCACCTCAGTAGAACAGGGTAACTTATTCATAGTTTGCAGTAATAATAGTTGCTTCCACACCAAGACCAAATATCATCTGCTCAACCATTCATTCTGTCTAATCACTAAATAAGTATATGGAAAATGCTAATGAATAATGATTGGTTGGGGTTAATAAACAAATTTATACATCTAACTGAGAAGTGATGTTAAAGACAAACCACTGTGTTTCTTAAGGGCCTATATGGGACCATAAAAACAATGTTTTTTCAATACATTTCTAAACATGAATTTTTAAACTGTACGATATTCTGTCTAGTATTGAAAACAACCACAGACTTACAGACTTCAGTGAAAAAGAAGAGAAAAGCAAACAGATACAATCCACTATGTGATCAAACACAAGACCTTGAGAGAATGACAGTTTCACTGTAGAGACACTATGGCAAAAGCAGACAAAAGATCATATCAGCAAGAGCACAGGCTCAGCTCCCACTGATGTCACTGGGAATGGAGCATGTCCATGTCTATAGGGGCTAGGGCCCAGAAAATTAAAAGTTTTCTGACTGTAAAACAATTTTAGCATCCTGATGAAAGAAGGCAGTTCCTAGTATAATACAGGCTGTATCAACTATAGCATTGTTAAAAGTGGATTTCTACAACCTGTTCAATGTTCTGAAACAAATAAAAAACCCAAAACAAACCACCAAAGTTAATTAGACTTAAGAAAAGGAAAAATGTTTTGTGAGAATGATATTTGTACTGTTGTCAGGAGAAACCAATACACTGTGTACCAGTACGCTACCATTAAGATCTAGTTAATAGTCCAGGTGAAGTTCCAAAAGTTAAGACTTTTAATTGTTAAAATGCCAAACTTGAAGATATTTGCATCCCTGTTGGGTTCATTATTATCTAACTGGAGCTTCAAGATTCTATCAGATGAAAATTAACTATATAGTGTGATTTTGATTCAATAATTGTTCAAAATTAACTTGTACAGGTAGAGTAAATATAAATCTATATTGCAAAATCCCATTAAAAAGAAGACACACCATTAAAGTTCATGATAGGGCCTTGTTATTTGTATGAATATTTTCATAACCTGATCTACAAACACCTTTTTAAGGGTCACTCAAGAGCCATAAACATAACCAGATATGGATAAGTTTTAACAGGATTTATATAGCTAGAGAATTGATAAAAAGAAATTTCCAAAGTTTTGTCTGTACAGTAATTTATATCAGTCTTCCCCCTCTGTCATCATAACGTGAGAAATGGAGAAGTTTGGTATTAGGACAAAATCTTTAAAAATATCAGATCTAGGTCAGTTAGAAATATTCTAATGTTAAAGCAGAATTTAAAATAAACTAGATAGGTCAATAAAAATAACTTTTAAAATAGCATATTTTAAACACTGATCTTCAAATTATCCCTGATATGGTGCAACACTGAAACTTGGCCCAAATATATTTTAAAAGACAAGCCTTTTCTATACAGATCTTGGCAGAGTAATAACCTAGTGTGTTTTATATTTTGTACTGTATGAGACAAAGCATAGGAAAAAAGTGATCCCCCTGCGACAGAATGTACCCCTATATTCACATGCCTACACACTACTGTAATAATTGTTGTACAAGGCATGTCTTGTAAGGTATCATTTGAAAACTCATAATTTACTGGTGAATATTGACCTGATAAAATATGTGTGGCAACATTGTATGTGAAGTTATAAGATTCCACTGTATGGCGTTATTAATACGTATTCCAAACTGAGGTTGACAAATAGGTCTGTCTCAAAAATACTTAATTTGCATTTATATAGTAAACAGAGTCATCAAGCAGGAAGGGAAACAAAGGAAGCTCAAACAGGTGAGAAAAAAGCAGCAGGGAACATCCTTCCCCCTGGACATTTTGTCTCCAGGTACCCAGCTGGAAATGTTTTTTCAAGTGCGGGACTGGCATCATAAAAAGGAGGGACAAACACTCCATGGCACCCCTCTCGCTCTCCCTGTCCATTGCACTCAAAGCACCTGAAGCACCAAAGGAAGCAAAAGTTGTATTCTGGGAGAAGGGGTCCTGACCTAAGAAGTCTGGTCAATAAGACTGCTGAAAGCATGTGGTGAGAAAATTTTGCTTTGAATTTAACATAGTTTGTTAAGTTAGGCATCAGTTGTGTTTTACTTTTATTTCTCTTGTAACCATTTCTGACTTTTATGTCTCATAACTTGTACTCACTTAAAATCCTTCTCTTTGTAGTTAATAAACTGGTTTAATTGTTATATCTAATCCAGACTGTTTAAACTGAAGTGTTTGGAAAACTCCATTTGGGGTGGTGACATGCGTGCATATTATTTCCATTAAAGAAATAACGGATTTCCTTTAAACTTGTATTATCCAGGAGACAGCTGGGCAGTACAAGACATACATTTCTGGGGGGAAATTTAAGACCGGGAGAGTGTTGGGGTCACCCTGCATTACAACAAAGGCTAGTGAGAGCCAGAGTGTAATTCAAGTGTGGCTGGCATGCTGCAGTTACACACAGACACTCAGGAAGTGACTTGCATGCCGGAAGGCTGTTTGTGAGTAGCACAGATTGGAACTGCTTCAGCAAGGCATCATAAAGCACCCAAGATTGCAGAGCAAGGGTGGCACAGCTGCTCATTAGTCTACACTGTAGTAGAGTATGTCACAAATTCCACACGGCATTCTTTCATATTCTGATCAAAGACAAGTCAAATACTGATTGTGAGAAAATTAGTGAATACACTGGAGTTCAGCAATTAAACTTGGGTTGTCGTGTCACTGAACCTGGATAGTCCTGTGAGAACAAATTCTGATGAGTATTTTCATTTTAACTTAGCTTCTTTTTTTACTTAGTTGATGCTTGCTCGCTAATGGATAAAGATCAGGCACAAATTATGAAAGCTGTTTGAATTGCATTTGACTATTTGATCAAAATTAGATGTGTAGAGAAAAAAGTATAAAAAGAAGCACTTTATTACACAACTTCTAAAAACGTCTTCAACATACGAATTTTACACCAAAACAGAACTAGTCCATTCATGAAAGGTGGAGAGGTTAACACATCCCACAGACATGAACGGTTACTCAAAGTCCTTTTTTCCACCTCAAGAGCACTTTGGAAGCCTTTGGAAAAGCAATTAAGTTATCTACAGATAGAAATTTCTTGGTCTTCTTCCTATCCTAAGGAGCCCAAAACAGCAAAAGGTTGTGAGAGATATAAAATGCCATCCATATTCATATTGGAGATTAGGAAGCTGATTTAGACCACTGATGCTATTGGTTAAAAAACCTCAGAGTCCTTGGAATCAAGAAATTAACCACTTGCGAAAGTCAGGCCCGGATCCACAAAGGGACTTTTAGGTACCTAGAAAATCACTGGAATCTACAAACCCTGGGTTAGGCCCCTAGACTCCCTATACAATAGATGAGGAAACATAGGTGGGATCCACAAAAGCCCCAGCACTCTAGGTCGGAAGCAACCTAAGCTAGCCAAAGGGAGATACCTTTCCTTATAATCTTTAGACCAATGGTCAGAGTACTCACCCTGATTCAATTCCCCCCCTCTGCCTGAGAAGATATTTGAAAAGGTGTCTCTCACCCCTCCTCCAGGTGCCTCACTAAGGCAGCTAGGTGCATGCCCAGAGGCAGAAACTTGGGTGCCTACGTAACTTTTACAGTGAAAATGTAGGCAACGACTGAGCCTAGGCACCCAAAGAGTTAGGCAGCAGCCAAGTGCGGGTTTTGTGCATCACAGTCATACCTAAATCTGGGGTGTAGGCCCCTAAATCCTTTTGTAAATATGTCATGGGGACTACAAATTTATTTTGTAAACAAAGTTAATACTGAGAACTGATGGCTGTGACAAAGATATTCCCCCTCCATGCACTTATGTCGAAAAGATTTTTTAAACTATAAGATATTCAGGGAAAGGGCTTTGTCTTCCTTTATGTCTACACAGCATCTAGAACCTTTAGAATGCTTTTATAATTATTTATTATTTAAATTACAATGAAGGCCTAGTGGTCACACACCATGCATAGCTTACTACATTTCACATATTATGAAAGACACCATACTTTTCTAAGCTTTAATCCCCACAAGACCTGTCACTGAGATTCTGCCCACGTTTATCTCCTACCAAAATCAATGACTGTTGGCACACACGTGAAGGCAAAATTGGCTCCAACTAATCTTACCAAGTATGCAGAGCAGCTGTGTTATACATGACATTTAATAGTGGAAAAAGAAGAATTGGCAAATACAATTCATTTGGCTTTCCAGAACA